TTCCTATCTGGATGTGGGAGTCTCCTGGCCACAGCAGTAAGCTTCTCATTTGTCCTGTCTTACCCGGTGAGTATTGGACGGTGGCTGTGTGCAGGTGGACCCACGTTTGCCTCTGCTGGGCTTAACCCCCACCTGTCTGTCAGCACCACTGGTCTGTCGGCAGCTGCTTCAGTTCTGTGGAAAACTTAGCAGCAGCCCGATGTTAGTTCCAGTGAACCACAAGTTGGTTTTATCTCAAGGGAGAGCCCGTGTAAACATGGCTGTGGGCACCCTGGCCTGGGGCCCACACTTCAGGGGGACCATCATGCCCGTGGGCCTGGTTTTGGAGAAACCCATGGAGGTAAGAGGACTTGAAATTGCCTCACAGCAGAAACATGTGAAGGAACGAGTGTGTTCAGGGGGGAGAAGTGTCGGCTCAGAGGGTCACCAGACTGCTCTCTCAAGCGTGAGAAGGGCTGTCATGCCGAAGTGGGATCTGACATCTGCAGAGTGTCCCTGAGAAGGAAAAGCCGGGCTGGGCTAACAAGATAACTCATAAATCTAAGTGTAACAAGTGTCGGATTGCTGATCTGAGTTCTGCTGGGCTAACTCGTAAATCTGAAGTTTAGTGTCAGTTTACTGGGCTAACAAGCTAACTCGTAAATCTAAGCTCAACGTGTGTCAGTAACGTGATCTGTTCCTAATAGATAAGCTCCAGTGTACTGATTCCTTGGTATTGCTGTTCGAGCCTTATTGGCTAATAGCGCCATACTTGTAATTAACCCTATAAAACCCCACGCACACGTCTTGGAGATGCTCAGAGCTTCGGAGCAGAAGCCCCTCTGAGCCCGCCGGCGTAATAAATCTGAGTACTCCAACCCTCCGAGTGGTGCTTGTTTCTTGGCTGGCCTGTCGTTTCCGTAACATCCCCACGGAGGGGAACTAGAAATTCAGAGAGATAGATGTGGGTGAGTCATGAGGAAGAGCAGCTGCATCAAATCCTTTGGAAACAGGTGGCCCCCAGACAGAATGCTCTCCAGATGGTGGTACTTTCCACTCCAATCTGGTGCAGCTGGGCAGCCACCAGGTAGGGGTGTCACAGAGTCCACCGGAGAGGACTCGGCTGCTCTGATCTAGGACATCCTAGAGGTCAGGGCCAACCTTCCTCACTGCCTGCTGTCCCCTGCTCGTGGGGGTCGGGGCCGGAGTGTGTTAAGGGAGTCCAGGGTTCTGCCAGAGGCTTCTCACTCGGTTTCTTACATCTCATCATGGATTTTTGGTGATGCAACCAGGACAATGATGGTTATGGGGAGAAGAGCAGGGTTTGGTCCCTCTCTGCCTACTGTTGGTACTAAACAAGACCCAGAGAGGCAGCCAACTCCACGGCTATGGGGAATGCTGGCTCCTGGTTCTAGACTCTGAGACATCAGCCTGCTGTGGGGTCATTAGGGGGTCCTTTGGGGAAGCTCAGTTTTCTTGCCCACATTAATTTTTTGGTTTTTCTCCTGGGTGTGTCTGGCCTTCCACCCTGCCCCTGTCCCCATTACTCAGCCAAGAGGTCCCATATCTGCTGGGTGTGAGGAGCCTCAGAGTTGCCCCACCAGCAGAGTCCCCTGAAAACTTCTCTTAGGGCTTGGCTGAGGCGTCAGCTGGAACCAGGAATGCTGTTTAGGTTTATAGGCTGTGTCCTCTTGGCTTGAAAAAAATATTGCCACCCTACCCAGCCGCCCCTTATAATATCCAGGAGCACCCGTAACCATGCGCCTGGCCTGGGTCTGCTGATCTGGGCTCAGGCAGGAGCGCTGCGCTAGGACCTGGGCGGGAGGGCAGGGGGCTTGGCTCTGGGGTGGGGCAGGTGTCCTGCCTAGGGGGTCTCTCCTGGTGACTTATTCCCTGGAGGGTGGACTTGGTGTCTCCTCTCTGCCTGGCCACTAAGGATATGGTCTGTGTCCTGGCACCCGTCAGGCCTGGAGGGACACCCCTCTGTTGAGCTCTGAGTGATGGAGAAGCTCAGAAATGGGGTGAAAAGTGGGGAGGGTACTTGAGGCTTCCGACGGAGGGAGCAAGGAGGAAATTCGGGAGTGAGACTGACGAAGGCAGCCTCAGGAACCAGGACCACTGACAACCAGGTGGGAAAAGAATGACTAAGAGTCCTGTTTTAGTCTGCAGCCCTAGGAAGGGGCTTACAAGGCAGGGGTAGTGGTAGTGGGGGCGGCCCCGAAAGCAGAGTGGTGGGAGTTTAATCTCAAAATCGTACTGAGATTTCTGTCACTCCTTGCTCTCTTTACAGAGGCTGCCTTGAGGCCCATGCTTGTTTGCATGGAGGATGTATTTTATGTAAAATGCTCTCCATTTCGAATGGAAACGACCCATAGGTGGAAAAGGACCAGACTATGAAGGCCTGGGGTCCCCACTGCTGCTGCTCGCCTCTGGGTGGGGAGTGGTGGTGGGTCAGGGCTCTGGAGGGAGGAAGGTGGGGAGGCAAAGGAAAGGGGGTGGTCAGAGAGAGGTGGAGATGGTATGGACAGCTGTCTCCTTCCCTCCAAGGAGACAGGAAAGGGCAGAGCCAGGCCGGGGCCAGGTGCAGAAGTCAAGGGCAGGGGTAGGTCTCCAAGGCCAGCTCTGTTGGGGGAAGAGTTCACATCTTATGCCACCCCAGCACCGACCCCTCTAGAAATAGGAAAATTACTAGCAAAGAATTTCATGCTTCAGTGTCCCCTGGCTGCGCCTCCCCAGCCCCAACACAGATAATGCGTGTTCTCCCGGGCAGGGTCCCTGTCCTGTTCTTTCTTACCCTCACCTCCGGCAGCTACCTCAGGGCCTGGTGTTGAGCCATCGATGCTGATTGAACTGAACTGATGGCTGACAGGGAGTTCCGTGTGGTCAGATTGCTTGGTCAGCAAGGACCCTGGGACAACTTGTGTCTCTGATGGAAACCAAGGAACAGAGCGAGAAATACAACCAACATTTCTTCAGAGACTCCCCAGTGCTGGACACTTTCTCTGGTTGGATGTGCAATCACCATCTTCCAGAGGGTGAGTCTGACGACCTCCAACTTCACACAGCTGGCCTTCACCTCAGAGTTGTGGTTTCCATCCCTCCCGGACTGGCCCAGAACCCCAAGCCTGAGCTCTTTCCAGAGGATGATGGGACCTTTAGAGAACAAAGCTAAAGGGGACCCTGGGAGGCCAGTAGTCTGCCTGAGGGACAGAGTAGAGACCCTCAGGTCTGGTTTATGGAAGGGAAGGCCCAATGACAGCCTCTAGCCTCATAGTCCTTGGTGGCCCGAGTGGGTGTGGGTGTCTCTGTAGGGGAGAGGGAAGAGGAAGCACTGAGGACATAATTCAGCATCTCCTCGGGACTGGAGGACCACCTGGGAGGGGTCCCTCTGCCATAGCAGGCTGATTGATGGGGAAGGAAGGGGATGGGGCCTGCAGCTGAGCTCTCCTCTTGGGAGCGCCAGGGCAAGGACCCCCGAGATAACCCAAGATTGGAGAACCCCGCATCCCTGCCTGGCCCCTGCAGGATTTTCCTCCTCCATCCTTCTGCCTCTGGATTCAATTTCCCTGAAGACACCCTAAGCCGGAGCAGACAGTTTCCATTCTGAACTAGAAGTTTCTGTTTTCTTGCATGTAAATGGGGAGAATAGTAGTCATTTCCTTTGTCTTGGCTTAAATGTCACCTCAGTGAGGCCGTCCCTGCCTGTTCTGTTTCAGATTGTGACTCTGCCTCCCCAGCCCCCTTGATTCCCTTCCCTGCTTTGTTTTGCTCTACTGAATGTCCCGCTTTCTAACATACTGTATTATCTATCTGTCCTCATCATTGCTACCGATCTGGTTTTTATTCATTTTTGTCTGCCCCGCCCCCACCCCGAATGCTGGTGCCATAGGGCAGGGGTCTGCCTGCTGTGTTCTCTGTGTCCCCAGCACTTGGAACAGTGCAGGAACATAAGACGCATTCAATAAATACTTGTTGAATGAATGAGTGAAGGATGGAGGATAGGATTGTTGTAAAAGCATTAAGTGCGTTGCTGGATGTAAAGCATTTCTTAGGACCCCCAGCATCTTATTTCTGTTGCTTCTGCTATTGCTTATTGGATGTGACTTGTGAGGATTCCTCAGCCTCTTGGCTCTCTGTTTCTCCATCTGTGAAATGAGGAGACGGAATCACTAAATGATCTCTGGCCTTCCTTCAATCTCTAAAAAGTCTGCACTTGTGTGATCTTTGTGCCCCCACATGCTCCGAGTCAGGAAAGTTCTTCCCAAAGCTCACTTTCTGCCGTTCTCTGCGGCACCTCTGCTGGGTGTGGAGGTGCTAAGTGTCCCTTCACAGCAGCTCTTCCTCTATTTCTTTTGACTGTGAGCATCAGGAGAGGGCAGAGGTATGGGACCACGAGTCAGCTCAATATTCCTTGGGATGGTTTCCATTCCAATATTTACGTGTTTTATTTTCATTGGTTTTGGTGTGTCGTTTCATAACAGCTTATTATTTTCAACAGAGGCAACAGTTCACTCTGTGCATAATTAGTAGCTATTTGCTTTTCGTTTTCTTCTTAAGAGTTTTTCTAGAAATAAGAAAAGTACAGGAAAAAAAATCTTTTTGCCAGACCACGTGCCCTGATTTGGGATTTGGACACGGGGTCCTTGGAGATAAAGGTTCACGCTATCCTGCCCTGGGTGGGGTTTTGGTCCCTGACCTTGGACGTCCCTATGGGGACAGGTCACACATCAGAGGGTTCAGAAGCACCTGTTTGGGGGCCCAGGTCAGCAGGGCTGAGATCGTCCTCACAGGGCCTGGGCCATTTCCCCCCAGAATCCCCCTCTGAAAGAGGCAGTCTGGAACCTCTGGTTTCCCCACAGCTGACTCCGTGGGGGCAGCTTTAGGAATAAAGGTAGCTTCATACTGCCGGTATTTGGTATTCGCTGAGTAACTGGGATGGCCTGGGAGGAGGGGCGAGGGACAGGTCCTGCTAGTTCTGCCTCGTTGTTTATACACGGGATTACCTCACATGTCCCAACCGGCGGCTTCCCCGCCCGTCTGCTGGGGGCCGGCCCTCAGCCCTCCAGCCCCCTTTTCCCTACATGCCTGGGAAGCCAGGGGCAGACATGGACCTTCCTGATGACACCAGCTGAGCCTGGAGGCCTCACCCCTCGGGAGACCATGGAGAGGGACAGCCACCGGGTGAGTGTGTCCGTGGACCTGGGGCCAGAACCTCCTGGCACTGAGGAAGCCGGGATGGCCCTGGAAGATAGGTGGGGCACCGGCACCGGGTGCCTCGGGTTTCAGGGGAAATTGAATGAGACTCTTCTAATTGGAAGCTACTCAGGAGAAAGATAGCCTGGCCTCCTTTGATCATGGTTCCTAGAAAGGGCCTTCTGGGAGGGGAAGCTGACGGGATTTGGGGTCTGGTCAGGAAGCACCCAGGGCTGTGTGGCTGGATCCTGGGCTCCCGCTCCGTGGCCCGTGACTACCCCGGGCAGGGCACGTATGCCACTGGGACACCTCTGCTGATTGAGAATCATGGAAGCCTAGCCTTCTACCCAGTTCAGGGTTATCTTGGGTAAGACCCTAACTAGACCCATAAACCATCCCAGAAAAGGTGACTTTCTGTGTGCATTTAGGATCTTCGGGGGGGCTTTTTCCACTCCCCTTGGTCGTTATTTTCAGGCTCAAAAATCTTCATGCTTGGAAAGTGCTTCCTTATGTCTACCCATGATTCCTTCTGCTACAACTCGGGTTCCTTTCCTCCCCTTCTGCTTTTGGTGGGAGAGAGTAGATGAATGTCCTCGGTGGAAAAACCAGTCAGATACACATGAAGGCTTCCAGAAATTTTGTTCAACGGCGCCTCAGCTTTCCTTTCTTGAGGAACATTAGGGGCCTTGCTCTTGTGCTCTGACTTCGCCTTTGGTCATATTTTGTGCGCATCTCAACTTTCTTTTGTTCTTTACTGGTGTGGTAGAACCTGGGATTCTGGGAAGGGTGGGCCAACTTTGGATTTGAGGACCAGCTCAGCCTGTGTTCTGGCTTCGAGTTGCTTGTGGTCCATTCTGAACCTCGAATGTGTTTCTGCAAACTTTACCATCATCTCTCCAGCCATTCCTCCAGCTCCCTCATGACTTTTCTTTCCCAGGTTTCCTCTCCTGCCCTCTGCTCTGGTCTCCTTAGTCTGTGCGTCTGCCTCACCAAGGTAGTTTGGCCCTAGGCCTTTGGGACTCATTGGAGCCTCTGGTGAGCAGTACAAGTGACGCAGAGGACAGAATAGAGTTTTGTCTGAGGCCTGGGGAAGGTGAACCCACCATCACAGCCATGAGTCATGTTCCTGGGTAATTTGCTGGGAGCCCTAAATTTGATGGTGCCTAACACAAGGCGTGAGAAGGGCTGAGCTATCTGAAGGGTGGTAGGGCCAGTCCCTGGGGCAGGAAGCTCATCTCTCCAGTATCAGGGACAAACATGGAAGGTTACTCAAGGGACACAGGGTGGAAAGCAGGCTTTTCATTAGTGATGGAATAAGTGTCAAATGGTGTGGCAGGTGCCATGTTTTCTCTGGGAGACTGCTCTGACTTACCTTGGATTGAAAGAACTGAACCACTACTTCCTTAATTGAACGGTTCTTAGATTTGCCCCCCTTGTTGTAGGTGGAATCTCCAAGATAGTGAGCCCAAGATGGGGACAGATAGAGCTTCCTGAGGTTCTTAATCTTATCGGCAGTGAGTTTCTTAAAATTGATTAAATTGAAATAGGAGCAGACGGGGAGTAACTGGTTGTCTGAGGCTGTGCCTCCTCCCTGAGGACTTCATTGCAGAGAGATGCAGTGTGAGTTTTGTCCATCAGCTCCAAAAGGGAGTAAGGAAGATGGTGGTCAGTGGACTTAAGCCTGCTGAAGCTCCTATGGGAACTGGTTGGGACTTCAGGGAGATCTTGGAAAGAAGGTGGAAAAGGCTCACGGCTTCTTTGTGTTCAAAAGAGAAGCTGTGTGATGTGGTAGACAGAACACTGACCAAGTTCCAGGTCAGTGGTGACTTAGGACCAATCATTTAACCTTTTTGCACTTTAGCTTCTTCATCTGTAAAATGGAATTAAATAGGGTCTACTTCAAGGAGTCTTAGAATAATGTCTTTAAATAATAAAGCTCTTTTAGAACAGCATCTGGCATGGATCGATACTGATACAGAGGTAGACGTGTATTCATGGTGTTAAGAATTATTTTCATCATCCTCCTCATCACCACTAACATCATTTATGGTCTAGGGTAGCTTCTGTAAAAATTTGGACAAACATATTCTGCTCTCTGTGCCTCAGTTTTCCCACCTACAAAGGAAAAGGGTTAGACAAATTGCCCCCGAGGCCCCTTTCTGGTTCCATGACAGACTCTGGAATCATGTAAAATGGGATTACAAGTGTGTCACACTGGATATATGCATTTGTTCTTAAAAAAAATAGTGCATATTTTCTGTTTTTTTTTCCAAAAGGCATCACATTCTCAATGCTTAAAGAAGTGTCATGTTTATTAAAGAAAGATTGAAGTACACCCCCTGATAAAGGAACAATCCGTTGTAGAGTGGAATTTCTTATTCTGGGTCTTCTTAAAGTGGAGCAGGTTTTCAGTCAGCCCAAGATCACAGATGCTGTGAACTTGAGAATGGCTGGGGGCCTCAGGTCTGGTCCAGTATGAGGCACCCTCCCCAGAGTGGGCTGGGCAGGTTCCCAAAATAGTAGACCAGCAGGTTCAGGTCGCTCTGCCATCCCCTAGACCCCATAGTGCAGGCACTCCCAGCACCCCTTTGCCCCTTCAGGTATGCAGCCCTCCCCAAGACCACTGAGTTCCGTGTTGGCATTGGTGCTGAGCAGCCTTCCACCTGGCCCTGCCTCCCCAGCGTTGTCCCATGACCTGGCAAATGTGAGCGTGAATGTGTGGGAGTGTGTGTACGGGGCTCCAGGCCGGGTGCCGTGTGGGAAGGCTGACTGATGTAACAATAGCACTTAGCTTGAGTGTCTTGTTTTGGCAAAACAACCTCCTCTTGGTACAGCAGCAACAGGGGTGAATGGTGCCTGGCCAGGCAGGGAGAGTCCTGGGTGGGGGGCCAGAGGGAAGCCAGCACAGGGAACCCAGAGCTTTGTCAGCCAAGCAGAGGCCTCGGCAACACCAAGTGGAGTCTGGCTCCACCAATAGGGAAGCAACACCAAGGACTGTCCAGGGAACCCCATTAGGTACCAGCCCTGAGCTGTGTTGTCACCCTAGCATTGGCAGAGAGGGGACATGGGGAGAAACAGCAAGTTCCTAGGCAGTCAAACTTTATTTGCTTGGCAATAGTGGGTGCTCAATGTTCTTTAAACTGTTTGATGAGTGAATGAATGAATGAATGAACGAACAAGTGAATAAACAGGAAGGTGTTTTGATTCTGGTCTAACAGGGATCCCCGAGGGTTTTTCACGTGTACAAGAGGCATCGTAAACTAGAAGGAAATTTAGTGTTCAGTCAGGTCAGCAATGTTCTAGTTCTTTGTAGCAGCAGCCTCTTTTGTTCAAGTGAAATCTTATGTGGAACCCACTGTATAAAACTGAAGAGTTAATCTACTCTGCTTGAAGTGGGGTAAAGGACTTAAAGCCTTTTATCTACTAAACTGGTATCCAGGGCATTCCAACAGAACTTCTAAAGCTCTGTAGAAACATCAGTAAGACAAAGGTTGGACTAAAGAGTTTTCAAGCTCCTTCTAGCCTGCGATATGCCCAGCCTGGGGATGGCCTGGGGCTGAGGAGGGAGGCCCAGGCAGTTTGGGCTGGGCCTGAAGGGGCCTTTCCTCATGGACATGCCTGTGGGCCATGAAGGCATGTTCAAGTCGCTGCAGGTAGACATTCTTAGGTCTAGCATGAGACCTTTTTATAGGGTACCTCTCCCTGTGTTGCCGGGGGCTCTGGGTGAGCCATAGTGTATCTGGGCCAGAGTTGAGGCTGCCACTGTGGTTGAAGAACAGTCTCTATGTAAAGCCCAGGGCGCAATCTGTGGTGGCAGCCACATAACCACAGAGGTGAAGCAACCCGAGAGGTGACTGTGACATCACTCAGCACAACAGGGGACCTCCCTTCCCTGGCACCACTGGCTGGACCGCCTGCAGGAGACCCAGAGAGGCCAAGGGTAGGACAAATCTGGGGGCTTGTTAACTTTCTCCCATCCCCGACCAGTAAGGGCCCAAGCAGAGTCTGCGGCAGGAAACTCTAACACCGCCCCATTCACCGTGGAAACTCTGGTATGGAAGGCAGTGGACCAGGTACAACAGGCTTCAGGTTTTAGTCCCTATTCTGCTATAAGATGTACCTGAGTGACTTTGGGCAAAACACACAAATATTTTGGGCCTCTACCTCCTCATCTATAAAATGGGAATAACAATCCTTATCAGCTCCCATCCAGGAAAGTGCTTGGAAAGAGCCCCAGAGCCAAGGACTGCCCTTTTCCCCTCTCTCCCTGGCCTGTCCCTAGCTGCTTCCCCGTGGACCCCTGCCCTGCCTGCCGCCTCCTGCCCCAGAACATCTCGAGAGGACTGGATGAATTTTGAGTAGGGGTCCTTGGGAGCTGCAGAGACACAGGCAGGGGGCAGCTGTGACAGCTGGGGCATAGGCCTGGTCCATGACACGGTGAGGGCTCATGGCGATATTAGCCCAGGGGTAGCCCCAGAGACCCCCACCCACCCAGGGGTGGGTGGGGCAGAAAGGCAGAGAATGATTGGCAATACTAGGCCAAGGAAATGGCCCAGAGTCACCCATGCTTTGGCTCTGCCCTATCCACCTGCTCGCCACCCCCCGGAAGGCTGGGGAGCCTCTGATCTACAGGCAGGTTGTGGAGAGCCTGGGCCATGGCCATCTGAGTTCCATCCCTGGGTCTTCTGCTCACCAGCCAGGGCTTGGAGTTGGGCCGGTTCTAGTCCAGGCTCTGCCCCTGGTATCTTGGGACCTTGGGCAAGAAGTCTCCTCCCCTCCCCGTTCCCCACCTGCTCAAGGCATCTGCTCTGAGGGTGAGGTCGGGCCTCCAGGAAGGGCACTGGAATCTCAGCAGTTGCTCTCCAAGAATTGAGGATAGGAAATGAGTTACTGCTCTAGTAGGTTAGACATCAGGTAGGACGTCCAGCAGGGTGGGGCGGCAAGCTGCGAAATGGGTAAAGCAGGACGGCTGTGGAACGTCCTGTTGCAGTGGTCCTGGAGAATGAGAACTCTTCCCAGCATCCTGCCACAGTTTGGGTTGAGGTTCAGAGTCGAGAGGATGGAGTAGATGGTCTCCCTCTGGAGGCGGTGTTCCTCTGGTTATGGGGCTGCATTTCCATCCTGCTGTCCCGGCTGGGGTTTGCAGTTCCCCATGTGGGCAGCTCTATTTGGGACTTGGGGTGCCAGGACTTTCCTCTTGCCCTAGTCTGTGGGGCCAGAAACTTTCCATCTGCCTCCCACCCTGCCTGAAACCAGAGTGCTCGCTCTCCTGAGGCCAGGGCCTCCAGGGCCTCTAGCCCTTTCTTGGATATCCCCCTTTCTCTCCTCCACCCCCAGCTCCTCCTCCATCCCCACACCCCACAGTTCCCAAACTTGGGAAGACTTTGTGTTGGGCTGCTGGGGCTCAGAGTCAACCATCTGGAAGAGTCAGGCTGGGGACTACTCACCCCTCCTCCTGGCTCCTTGTGTACCGAGCCCCAGGTTAGTTCCCTTTCACATGTCCCACCTGCCTCTAGACTCAGAGAAGAAGGACCCAGGTCGCTCTCTTACCTGGACCCCAGGGCTCACCTCCCCATGGCCTTTCCCCCCTGCTTCCTGCCGGCCAAGGCCATGGGTGGGCGCCTTGGGACCTACCTGCACGTGGAGCAAGCATCAGGCAGAGGGACCAGCAAGGCTCAGGAGGTCTCCCCCTTCCTTCTTGGCAGCCCTGGCTTCCTGCTGTGCCTGCCCCCCACCAGTTCCCTCCAGCCTCCCCCAGTTCTTCTCACCTGTCTTCCTCTGGGCCTCCACCACCTGTGGTCCTCCCAGCCCTCTCTCCTTCAGCCCCTGCCTGTCATGATGGGGTAGCAGGACCAGGGTCATGGGATCCTGCTCAGCTGGAGGCAGCCTGAGCTGTTGCCTGGGAATCAGAAGACTGTGACAGAGCCCCATGACCACTCATCTGTTTAGGGGCTGTAGGCATGATCTTGAGTCCCTCTGAACCCCAGTTTCCTCATGGATAAACTGAGGATAATAATTCCTATCTAGCTTGCTAACTAGGAAAATCAAATGAAATAATGGGTGTGAGAATCAAGGAAATAATGGGTGTGAAATCTCTTAGCAAATTGTAAGCCCTGAAGAAATGGAGAAGTTACAGTGCACATTCGTGATACTTTTGGGCTAGACTCACTTGCTCTGAGTGGTCCTAGTTAGAATCCAAGCCCCCTCATTTACCTGGGATATGAACTAGGGCATGTTCTCAACCACCTTGGACCTCAGTTTCAAAATCTGTAAAATGGGGTTAACAATACCAACCCCAAAGAGCTGTTATGAGGTCAAAATGGGATCAAATAAAATGCCTAGTGGGAGCTGTTATCTTTATTATGATGGTACACATTTATAAACCTGGCTCTTTCATATTTATTCCACGTTTATCCTGGGGGAAGGAGGCAAGGTCAGTCTCATTGTACATGTGTGGAGCAGACTCTGAAGGGTTAATGTACTTGCCCAAGCCGGTTAGGAATGGATGCAGTCATATTTGAACACAGATTTTTCCATTTCAAGCCCAGTGTCTTTAACAAACAAGCAAACAAATACCCACCATCACAGTTAATGGTCCTCATGTTCCTACTTCACATACGTCATCTGTCACTTCAGTGCAATGAAGATGGGTGACTGGCTCACCATACAGATAAGGAAACTGAGAGGTAAAGAGGTTAAGTCACTTGCCCAGAGTCACCAGTTGGCTCAGAGAGTACTGGAGGGCTGTGACGCTGCAGCTCCTGACCACCAGGCTCTGCCCGGTCCTGGCATGCCATCAGGCCAGTCCTGGTTCCCACCAGAAAGTTCCACAAGACTGAGATCCCTTCGGGAACCCCTGGTCCCACCCCCAGGCTCCGCATGGCACTCCTGGCCCTGAAAGTCCCCAGGTCCAGTTCTCAGGCCCCATCACGGGTGCAGAACCAGCGTCCCGTGCAGCAGTTTCTGAGAGATGGTACCCGGAGGCTCCTGCTGCTGACTCTAGCAGGCAGGGAACTCAGATGCACACAGGCTGGGGGCAGGTTCCTGACTGTGTGATTCTGGGCAATCTGAGCTCCAGGCCTAGGATTCCTCATCTGTAAAATGGGCTTCTCAACATATCAACCTCTCAAGAATGGAGTGAGGACCTCAGGAGGCCATTGTCATGCAGGTTTATTGTAAACCCTAAAGTTCCATCCATTGTGAGCAATTGTCATTTTATTGTAGAGAGTTATGGGGATTTCTCCCAAGGTCAGGGAAGACTCAGACTGTGAGCACAACAGGGAGGGAGGCCTGGCAGGCCAGCTGAGATGCTCTGATGCCAGGGTGCCGGCCAGATGCCAAGGCCCCCACTGGTGCGAAGGAAGCACAGGGCTCGGGCTCATCCCTCTCATTGAAGGACCTTAGTCTGGCCTTTGTCCAGCACCCTCTTTTCTCCCAAGATGAGCTCACACCACCTTTCAGCCCTCTGGCTGTGCCCAGGGCTGTCAAGTCTCAGCATGGTTGGCGCTGGGTGTGGCAGTGCAAAGGGGGAGGGGAATGACCCTTGCCTGCCCAGTCACCGGGTGCCCGGCATTGGCATGAGCTTTCCTATTTTATCTCATTGAATCCTCAGGGGTAATGGTCCTAGTCTACTGAATAGAAAAAGAAAAAGGGAAGTTAATTGGCTTAGCCAACGTCACGCTTGTCTGCCTCACTTGAAAGCCAGTGCTGTGAACGAATGCATTCTCCATTTCAGCATATCCTTACCACCTCCTTGCTCCAACCCCAGTCCTGTTCCCCTTGAAGCTTCCAGGAGCTAACCTGTCTTCGTTTTGTGGAAATCTAGTCTCTATAGACAAGGGAGGTGAGAGGGAAATCTGAGCTCTGGTTCAGCTAGGGCAGCAACTGCCTCAGCTGCTCTTTAAGTCCCTAAACACACACAAGTGTGTCCCTGCTCTGATGGCTGGGGCATCTGGACTCAGGTGTATTTACCTGTATCCATTAATTAACCCCAGTCACTCCCTGGGACCCGACGCTCCGGGTCCCTGCCTCTGGCAAGCTGAATGTGATCAGGGACTCGAGGCTCTTCCTTTAATTCACCCCACAGCCTCTAGAAAGATGAAGAAGTGACAAAATCCATTACTTCTGACTCTCAGAAGATGTAGTGAAAATCAAAACCAAAACAAAACCCCTGTCTAGTAGGCTTGATGGTGCTGATGTGAGCCAGACGTTCTAATGAATTTTTTATTAACTGGGCTGCTTACTAATAATGTCAAATGCATTCAAGCATCGTGGCAGGTGAGGGGTGGAAACAGGGGTGCCTGAGGTCCAGAGCCTGTCTCTCCTGCACAGCCCTGCCGACCAGGTCCCCAGTGCAGGGTCCCTGAGCACAGGCATGCTTCCCTCACCATTCCTGCTGCCTCCTGGGAGACCACCATCCTGAGAATCCAGTCAGCGGTCAGCAGACATTATCATGAGGGGCAGGCGTTGCCCCTGGGCCAGGCCAGTTCCCAGCTACCCCTGCTGTTCCGGGGACCCCTGGAGGGGGCGTAGGAGGCAGAGGTGGTGTGAGGGAGGGCAGAAGACCTCAGCGAGGGGCCAGAGGGAGGTGAGAGGATGCCTAATCTTGTGGCAGGGACTGGGGGTCCTGCAGACCAGGACTCAGCAGCCAGCAGAGTCTGCTCATCAGCCCTGACTGCTCGCTGGCTCCCTCTCCCAGGTTCAGCACACCCAAAGGCTCAGGCTCTCCAGGAGGGAACAGCGCTGGTGTTCCTTGGTTGCCCGCTCCGGCCAGCTGCTGCGTTATCTCATGTGTCCCTCCTCAGGGAGGCAGCAAACCCTAGTGGTTGAGCTTGCCCTCCAGAGCCCGACTTTCCGGGCTCACATCCTGTCTGCCACTCTCTAGCTATGAGAGCTTGATTGAGTTACTTAATCTCTCTGCCTCTGTTTCCCTCGGTGCAAAATGGGGGGAAATAAAGAGTTCCTACCTCATAGGGTCATTCTCAGGATTAAGTGAGTAAGCACGTACAAAGCACCCAGCCCTCTGCAGCTATAAAGTGCTACATCTAAATGAATAAATCACTACACCTACAGCTGAGTGAGGTTAAGACCTTGCTCCCCTTCTGCACCCTGCCTTTCCCGTTTCCCCGATGCCTCGGTGCGTGTGCACGCGAGTTCTGTGTTGCTGGGAACAGTGCGGGACGAGGCAGGTCAAGGCTTTTCTTAAGCTGTGCGTCTCACAATTTTTGATGACAGCTCATAGTAGGAATGCTGTTTTATAATCTAACACACAGACACAGAAGGGCGGGATGCAGGGGAGTGGAACTGAAGAGGGCAGAAAGGGTGGCGACTTCCGCTCAGAGTGAGGGTCTGGCCCAGCAGCCTCTTTTTTGAAGGTCTGTGGACACAGGTAGCCAAAGCAGGTGCCCCTACGCCCTCAGCCACTGGCCCACTGTCCTCTGCCCACCCCCGCAGTTCCCTGTGATGGGGAGAGACTGCAAGGAGTTTGGGACAGCAGCCTCTTTGAACTTTTTTGTTTTTGTTTTGCTTGTGTTTTTTATTTTGCTTTGTTTTTTATTCTGTGAACTTTTATTCCATCTTGGACACTCTCTTCTCACATGCTTCCCTGTCTGGGGTCTCTGCTCACCCTCTAGCCGCCTGCCCTGGCTTTTATCTCCTGGTTCAGCAGGGCTGACACCTGGGTGGGATGGTGGGGGAGCAGCTCAAGAGATGGCCTTCACTCTGCTTTCAGAATGTTCCCCCGGCAAGGACGCCTCCTGCCCGGGCTTCCTCGGCCCTAGGATCGCCGGCCCGTGCATCACCTTCCAGGTCATCGTCCAGCAGGTCTTCCACGTCAGTCTCCACGACATCCTCTCCAACGAGAGTCTACCTGGTTAGAGCAACGCCAGTGGGGGATGTACCTGTCCGGGCATCTCCTGCCAGGTCCCAGCCAGCTGCCAGGACCACTGGGGAAAGCCCAGGTAAGAGGGCTCCTGCAGGGAAGGCAAGAACAGGGAAACGGTCCATGGGTGGGGTGGGGGTGCAGAATCTCCAAGTAGCGGCTCTCTGCTCCTCCTCTGCCTCTTGGATAATGATATGTGGGGTGGAGGGGGAATGGTCAGGTGGGTAGTGGGGGACCTGGGGAGGTGATGCAGAGAGGAACCACGACGTGCAATCCCAAAAGAGTGAAAAATTGGGGCAAAAGGGATAGGTGATAAGAAACCAGGACCCACAAAGCAGGTGTAATTTTGGAGGCTGCACACTCTGGGTCAAGGTGCAGATTTTGAGAGCAGGCGATCCCGGTTAGAAATCAGGGTTCTTTCCTTGGGCTGCCCTGTGGGTGTGTCAGCAAAGCTGGGGTCTGCATCGGAGCAGGGTCATGATCATGGACCCATCTGCAGGTGGAGGAGCAAAGGAGGAGATTCTGACCAGGCAGGCACTCCCCACTCACAACTTTCCAAACTGGTGTATATGATTCAGCTAGAAGAGAGTTAGAGATGTCAAACGGGCCTCCAAGGCTGGCTCTGCCCTTAATGAAACAGTCTTTCTCCCCATCCCAACTTTGCTCTCCTCCTGTCCTCAACTTTAGCCTGCCCCCACCACCAACCACAATATAAACAGACCTGGAGGAGAATCCTAGATTTGGAGCCAGTCTCAGTCTTGCCCTCTGAAGGGTTAGTGAGGCGCCTCGGTGTGGAGACCTTTGGCACCAGACACATTTCATTTGAATCCCTGCTCTGCCACTCACTGGCCTGCAGTGGCTGTCAGAATTAAATAACACATGCAAATGCTTGGCTGGGCCTCGGCAGATGCTAGGTAAAAGGGAGCTTGGTATCAGACAGAGGCGATGTCATATTCTGGGTGGAGAGGTCCTAACGGCTCCCCCACCCTGGGCCAGTCTCCTTTCCTTCTCCCTCCTCCACTGTGCGGGACTCCCCTCCAACAGCCTCACGCTCCCTTGCTGCCGCCCGCTCCTAGGTATCAGCTTACCCAAGTTCACCTGGCAGGAGGGCCAGAAGCGGCTGCCGCTCGTCGGATGTATCCTTCTCCTCATCACCCTCGTGGTGTCGCTCATTGTTCTCTGTGAGTTTCACGGAGGGAGCAGGGCGGGGCTCTGGTCATGGTCGGGTAGCATGGGGTCCGGGGATGGGGGTGCACAGTGGAGAGACAGGATGGGGAGCACACGCTCACCCACTGTCATGTCCACAGAGGGAAACTCCTGCAAAGGGCCTTGGACCATGGCACCTCCAAGCCCCTGGCAGGTAGCCGGGTGGAGAGTATGGGAGATCAGAGGAACTGGGCTTGGGTCCCATCTGTGCTACATACTGTGCAACTTCCTTGGGCAAGTTCATCAACCAGTTTGAGCTCAGTTATTGCATCTTCAAAAGGGATTAAATTCATTCATTCATTCAACTTACTATGTGCTCCGTAGAAGTTCATGAAGATTTCCTGGGGTGGTGAGGAATAAACAAGGTAATGGCTCAATGCCTGGCACAAAATTCCACAATGAAAATCTTAGTCATTAGAAAAACATAGAAGCACTGATTAGGAAATGTCACTCAGGCATTTTCAGTCAATGCGATAAAATGTTCAGGGGTCCAGGCTCCCTCAATTCCATGGCCCCCGGAAAAGGTACTCAGGACATGTTCCAGGGCTCCCTGCCGGGGAGTTCACCGTGAGCCCAGCACCGTGGGAAACCTTAAGAAGGAGCAAAGGGGAGGACACATCACATTGCCCTGTCCTCAGGGAGGGTACAGGCTCCGGGAAACATAGTTGGGAATGATTAAGATCAAAGGGATTTGAGTATGTCCAGCAGAAGAAGTGACAGCTATTGGGGCTGGAGAAGCAGGGGACAGCTCATGAAGGCCGTGGGGCCAGATAAGAACCCAGAAGATGGGGGAGCATCTTGGGCAGGGCATCTGAGCAGGATGAGCAGCTGCAGGAAATGTAGGGGGCAGATGGGTAAGTCAGCTTGGGGAGAGGGAAGGGACCCACTGGACCAGAGAGAACATTTGGGGACCTGAAGGTCATCTGATGGGCATGGCTGGGTTACACTGTAGAAAGCTTTAAATGCCAGGCTGAGAGATAAGGATTCAACTAAAGAGGCAGCACGGCGTGGTGAAGGGAGGGTGGGAGACTATATGGAAACAGCCATCTGGCAGGGCTGTTTGAGGAAGAGGATGGTGCGGGAGGAAGACGAGTGCCGGTTAAGAGTATCACTTTAGTATCAGACTAACCTGCAGAGGCATCCCTGCTCTGCCACTTACCAACCATGTGACTTCAGCAAGTTCATTAGCTTCCCAAGCCTCAGTTTCCCTGCCTGCCTGACAAGGTGGTGGCGTTGCTGTGACAATGCTTGCAAAGTCCTTGGCACAAAGCCTGCCACGCGGCATCCACGTGACCCTCCTACCAGGATGCCCTGGCCTGCTCTCCCTCCCCTCCCTGCGTGGGGCACCCAGTCCAGGGGAAGCCCTGGCAGTGCACTGAGAGCTGGAGGAAATAAGCCGGGGAGGGGTGAGGTGGCACCGAGGGCGGGCTCGCAGAAAAGTTAGAGCTCTCAGCATGGTTTCACAGCATTTCCTGACATCCGCTGACCTCTGGACTTCCCAGGGCCAGGGAGGAGGTCACTGAGCAGCCACGCAGTGGGGTCAGGACTAGAGCCCCTGACTGACGACTTGCCGTCCAGAGCTCTCCCTGCTACACATCAAGGTGATGCCACGAGTTTCAGTGCCCAGGATGTGGGAGGGGGTAAGACCAGGGCATGGAGAGGAGGGGCAAGTCCAAGAGATTAGGAAGGACTGGTGTAGGGTGCAGACGAGAGGCAGGGTGAGGAGTCAGAACCCGGGTTTCTTAGGCATCCAAGTGGAGGTGTCTCCAGGCAGGAGGGATGACAGTTCCTAGTTTGGAAATAGATCGATCTTTGAAGAAGTCATGGAGCTGATTTTCACCTGTAGTTTGTAAAGCTGTTGTCTTTTCAGCCCAACTTGTCCATTTGGGAGTTAGCCACCTAGGGTTTTTCATTGAGTGGGCAGACATTTAAAGGCATCAAACCAAGTAATGGGGCAGAACCAACCCAGGGGACATCACTTGTTTAGGGAAGAAGGAGGAGGAAGAAAATCCAGGCGCTTCTGCGGCTGGAAGGACAGCCTTTGAGAAGACAGCCTAGGTAGTGGTTGCAGGTGTGTGACTGAAGATGGAAATTTCTCTGCTATGACCCACAGAGCACAGAGATGAAGGGATGCCAGAGGGGCTCCGAGGAGGGGCCTCTGGGATACTGGAGGAGGGGGTTTCTCTGATCACCACTCGGCCAGCAGGGGAACTCCCAGAGTCGTACCAACCTTCATACCTCCTCTCCCCCTCTCCTCTCTCTGGGTGGCTACTCTAGTCTGTGTGGTGCTGCCCTGCTTGCAGGAGCTTTCTGGAGTATTCCAGAGCATTTCTAAGCAGCCTTTCTCTCCATACAGATGGGGGACGAGAGCCTCAGAGTCCCAGAGGATGGCAAGTCAGTGATTCAGAACCCCCAGGGCCTTGGGCTGCTTAATGTCATGTCTCTCTGGAACTGGCAGTGACTCAGCTCTGTTTCACTTTTTTCAGTCTACTTCTGGCGGGGCCACACAAGAGTCAAGTACAAGGAGCCAGTAGAGAGCTGCCCCAAGCACGCTGTGCGCTGTGATGGGGTCGTGGACTGTAAGCTGAAGAGTGATGAGCTGGGCTGTGGTAAGGAGGCTGGACGGCAGGATGTGTGCGTGTATGTGTGTGCACCCTGGGGACTGCAAACCAAGCGTCAGCTCAAATGGGACACGATGCATAGAGACTCGGAGGATCTAGGCTCTAGTCACAGGAGACTTGGGTTTTGAACATGGCTTTGGAACATGAGTGCTGTGTGATTTGGGCGAATCACTTACCTTCTCTGGGCTTGTTTCCTAATTTGCAAAATGAGTGGATTGAACAAGATTAGTGGTTCTCAGATAAAATCTGACAACTCCTAACTACCAGACTGAGCCAAGTAGAGCTGCTGTGGCTGGAGGCAGGTGAGGGGCCAGAGCCCCATTCACATGCCCCTCCTCTTTGCCCAGCAGGTGCCCCTGACTAACCATCCCTGTGGTTTCATGAAGATCAGTTTGTAAGTGAAGGCCTAGACGAGCACAAAGCTCTCTTGGAGAGCCGCTCTGGGGGGGGGGGGGGTTGCAGGCGTTGTCCGCATACAGCCCCGATGTGGGTGTCTGTGGGTGCGCGTCCATCTCTTCTGTTCCCCTGGGCCGTATACGTGTGTCCTTGTCCATGACTGCATCCATCTCTGACTGAGTCTGTCCAGTCAGAACTCAGTAAGATCATCCCCCTTGTCACTCCCTGATTTGTGCACGGCCCCACCCTCTTAGGTTGACAACTTCTGGCAGTGCTCAACCTTTCTCCCAGCAACGGCCCCTGGGTCCTGCCAGATGGAGAGCTCTCTCCGTCCTGTCCTAGCCCCTTGCCTTGGCTCAGCCCTTACAGAGTATCCTGGGCTTCTGAGCACTGGCTGATGGTCCTCCCGTCCCGGGCCAAGCTTCTGGACATTTCTTAGGCAAGAAGTCTCAGGACAGGAGCATCTCCTTGGTTCATTTCTCAAGAACACGGAGCTTTCTGATGCTGAGGACCTGCTCTTCCCTTTTCTTGCCCTGCAGTGAGGTTTGACTGGGACAAATCCCTGCTTAAAGTCTACTCTGGACCCTTCCAGAAGTGGCTTCCTGTCTGCAGTGATGGCTGGAATGACTCCTACTCAGACAAGACCTGCCAGCAGCTGGGTTTCATGAGGTAAGCCTCGCCCAAGAATCCCAGATTCAAGGACACCTCAGGCTCTTTGCCAGGGCATCTGAGGTTCCCCAAGGGAAACTCAGATTAAAAAGACTCTTGGGGACCAGGGCTGAGGTCACTAGTTTGGTGGCCCGGGGAGCCCAAGTCTGGGGACAAGCTCCTCTCATGATGCCAAGGTAGTTATTTGATCTGCAACAGGGTGACATTCCTCTGCGGGTCTTTGCACCAAAGTGCCCTCACGCCCAAGGTCACATTCGATGGTCTCAGTTGCCCTGTGAGGTGGGTAGGCATTTGGGCCAGTCTCGTCTTCCCCTCACATCTGGAAACTAGCAGCTCAGGCTGTACAAACCCTCCAGCAGCCTGAGCTGCAGCAGCTGTGGCTCTGGCTGGAATTCATCCATCGAGGAATGAGATGGGCAGGTGTGGCCGGGTGAAGTCATTAGCATCTTTGGTTCTAGATTTTAAACAAGAAACTGGTGCTGGTGGGTGGAGTAGGGAGCAGGGTTTACCATGACCTTCCTGCTTGAAGGAGCCCCTGATTTACAGGTCACATAATCACCTCCATCCCATCTTGGTCTGAGTTTTCAAACCAAGTAGTTTAGGGGTTCACCCACATGTATGGAGTTGTGGGGAGAATGATTTATTTAGGACCTTACTGTTGCCTCTCTGTAGAAGAAGCACCAGAAAACCAGGGCTTGGGGGCCAGGACTTAGAGCCAGTTCTCTGCCCCCGTTTCATCCTCAGCGTTCCCATCTGTGTAAGGGGATCTGGGTGATCTCGTTGGAAGATGATAGACATCTTTTATTGTTGAGTTGTTTGGCCTTATGCAAATCTGAACTTCCCTTGGGCTCAGCAGATTGTGTCATTTATTCAAAGAACATTCATAGAGCTTTTTTTATGTGCCAAACACTATGTGGCACCCAGATAAGATCCCTGCCCTTGGATGATCTCTGGTATAGTGTGGGCAGGATAGGTTTAAACCAATAATCACAGCACCATGTGATGTGTGATGCAAAGGACATGTGCGAAGCAAAGGCACACAATGGAGAGGCTGCCCGACTGCGCGTGGGGGAGGCCCCTGGGTAGAGGAACAGCACGCATGAAGGCACGCTCTCATGCGGGGGTGTCCAATGTTCTAGAAACACACCAAAGTGCCACACAGATAGCGGTCCATGATCCCCCATAGCAGAATCACCTGGGCTGCCTATTAAACTGCACCCTCAAATCAGACTCTCTGGAAGAAGGATTTAGGACCGGTTTAACCAGTCCCCAAGGTGATTTTATGCACGCTGTGGCTGAGATCCAGTGAGCGAGTAAAAGCTTCTCAGGCTTCCATGTGCAAACCCATAACATGGTGATCCTTAAAATGCAGAGCCTGGTTCAGCAGGTCGGGGGTGATACAGCTGCTGCCAGTCCATGGATCACAGTTTGGATAGAAAAGAGCTAGGCGGGTGTTTCTCAAACTTATGAGTGAATCAGAATCACCTGGAGGGCTTGTTAAGACACGGAACTGGAATTCTTGATTCAGCAGGTCTGGGGCAGGGCCCAAGAATTTGCATTTCTAACAAATTCTCAGGCAGTGCTAACTGCCCTCTGGGATGAGGCCACACTTTTATTTTTTAGGTTGCTTGTTTGTTTTTTGCATCCTTTTTTATTGAAATACAATCAGTTTAGAATGTTGTGTCAATTTCTGGTGTGCAGCATCATGTTTTAGTCACACGTTCACATACATTTCCTCGTTTTCATATTCTTTTTCATTATAGGTTACTGCAAGGTATTGAGTATAGGCCCCTCTGCTGTACAGGAGAAACTTGTTTCTCTATTTTATATACAGTAGTTAGTATCTGCAAATTTTGAACTCCCAGTTTAGCCCTTCCCACCCCGTTTACCCCTGGGAACCATAACCACTTTGAAAACTACTAGGCTAGGGCCTGGGGCTAGTGGGGGCAGTGTGCAGTGGGGTGGGGCGCGGGGTCTGAGACTATGGGGTCTCAACTGCTTCTGGCCTCTGTCACCAGGGCTGGCCAGGGCTCTAATACCAGCTGGGAGGCCAGGAGTGGATGCTGCTCCAGGAGGCTCATTCTCCTTTCCTCCCTCCCTTGCAGTGCTTACCGGACAACCAAGGTGACCGACAGGGACTTTGCCAGCAGTTTCTCAATCTCTGAATATAACTCCACCATCCAGGAGAGCCTCTACATGTATGTGAGGTGGGCCATGCTGCCTGTCTGGGAACAGGGAGTGAAGGAGTGCTTTGAGTCAGGGAGCCCCTCCCCTTTGGCCTTTCTGGGCCCCACCTCCAGGAGTCCCTTGTGAATGTCAAGAGCATCTCAGAAGCAGTCCCTAACCCACCACCTGCCTCCTGACCTGAAAGTTATGGAAGCTTGGGGCACAGAGCACCTTGAGGTCAGGGATGCCCCCCCAAGAGTTTACCTGATTATCAGAGACAATGAATAGACCTTGGGGCCACCTGTCAGCCTGATGTTTGGATGGAAAGCTGCTGCAGGAAGGGGGCTTGGGGTGGAGAGGGAGAAATAGCAGTGGGGTCGGGAATGGGGAGGGGGAGCAGCAGCAGGGGGAATGGCAGGTGCTGTGGTCAGGGACAGAGAGGCCCATCTGGGAAGTATCGACCTCCCCCAGGCCTCGCCATCTGTCATCTTTGCACTGCAGCCGCCCTTGTCCCAACGCCACTGAGGGGGAGGCTGGGGGATGCTCCACCAGCTAGCAGTGTTTACCCTGGGGAGAGGTGAGAGGAAGCCAGGCCGTGAGAGAAGAAGGCATGGGGAGGGGAGGGAAGCAATGAGCTGCACTCGGGATGCCTGCTTTGTGCTGGGAGGTTTGCATGCTGTGTTGCTGGCGGAGCATGGAGGGACTGTCAAAGGACCATTGGGCCACCTGTTTAGCTGTGGAAAGATGCTTGGACAATGAAGTCATGAGTTCAAAGGACAGATCTAGCCAATGTGTGCCATCTGCCACAGAGAAACTGGGAGGTGGGGAGAAGGGCAGGGATGGTTTGCACAGAGCTATCCCCATTCCTGGAAAAAGCACTGGAAGGGTCTGTCCCACTGGGAGTGAGAAAGGTCAGAATCTCCATCTTCTTGTGCAAAGGAAATGGGATAGGAACTTAGCAGGGGCCAATCAGGGATGGCTTCCTGGAGGAGGGAGCTGACGTGCGCTTTTCTCATCTTTTGTGTTTCCTCCTGCAGGGATGAATGCCCTTCTCAGCAGTATGTCTCTCTACAGTGTTCCCGTAAGAAGATGCTCTTCCTCCTGCATTGTGGCCTGTGTGGGGTGGGAGCCATGGGGCAGAAGGGTGGGGCCCCTGTGGGGGAGATGGCCAGCCCTGGGGGTCTAAGCCAGGAAGAGGGCCTTAAGCAGCAAGCCTGCTTCAGGGCCAGGGTCTCTGGAAGGCACCTGGACAGTCTCAGGGTACCATTTCCCCTTCTCCTGACTCTGCTCAGCCCACAACCTTGCCATTCATGTCTCCTGGATTCTGGGCAGGGGGCAGAGGACTGGGAGAACAGGACCAGGTTAAAGCTCTGATGTCAGTAGACATGGAGCTAGGTCTACAGCCAACATTTATGGAGCACATCTGTTGCCTAGGCGCTGTGCCTACATCTTTATAAACATGATTGCATTTAATTCTTACCAGACAGGGGCCATTATTGTCCATTTACTGAAGAGACTGAAACATTTGATTTGCTTAAGGTCAGACTGTTGGTAGGTGAGGAGCTGGTACTGGACCTCAGGTCTGTCCCCAAAGCCTGAGCTCTTAACTGGTGCACAAGTGCTGTGTTCTTATGATGACTGGGGGGGGGGGTGCTCCCCTGAGCAGGGCAAGCCCCCCACCTCAGACCACTGCTGCTGCTTCACCTTCTCCTTCAATGAAAAAAAAGCACATGTGTGAACAAATGCCACAATTTGGGGGGGATGATTCATTCCAGAACATGTCTGGAAATGTTCCTTTGGGGCTCAGGTTCCCCAACAGCACTGAATGACCTACTGAAGGACCGTGTATCATGGGAAATGATGCAGGATGTTTTGAAACGATCCCCAGCACAGCACTTACCAATTCAGGGTTGCGTTACACTTGGTCTGCTTTCCCGAGCTCCTGACGGCAGCCCTGGGATTCACCATCGTGGCCCTAATGCCTGGCAGAGTGTCCAAAGCACCAGGCACTTAGTAAGCATTTGTTGAATTAATGGAAGAATGAATGAGTGGCAGGAAAGAGGAACCCATCTAGGCTCAAACTTCCCAATGGATGATCCCCAAAAGCGAGCCCGCCATGTGGGAGCTGTGCTGGCAGGAAGCAGCTGTGCTGCATCAGATTCAGTGAGCAAAGCAGCGTCAGTGGGTGGGTGGGGCTGCCTGAGCCTCCCGCGGCCCTGGGGACGCAGCAGGGGTGCTGAGAAAAGCAGAGTTCACAGTTCGTTTCTTCTGCTTCTCCCCAGACTGCGGACTGAGGGCCATGACCGGACGGATCGTGGGAGGGGCTCTGGCCCCAGAGAGCAAGTGGCCTTGGCAAGTTAGTCTGCAGTACGGCAACACCCACATTTGTGGGGGCACGCTGATCGACGCCCAGTGGGTGCTCACCGCTGCCCACTGCTTCTTTGTGTAAGTGCCCAGGGAGGCAGGATTGCGACACCACTGAGGGTCCAGGACACCAGGGAGGGCTGATGGCTGGTGAACTCTCTTGGTGGAGGGGGGCTTTGGTTGTGAGCCATGCAGGCTGGGCAGCACAGGTGTGGCGAGGACCATGATTTGCAGTTGGTTTTAGGTCCTGGGCATGAGAGTTGGGATTCTGAGCTAGCACAGAGTGAGAAATGCCATTGGTGGCCCCAACAGAGACTGAGGCAGGGAGGTGGAAGGAATTGGAAGCCTGCCCTAAAGAACCGGGTGAAATAAAGAGGCTTTGGGCTTGTTGCTGCTTCCAGCCACTGGAAGTTACAGAAGAGCCTGAGAGATCAGGACTGCTGTCCCAGGAATGGCGGGGAGCGCAGTGCAGGCAGCTTCTGACAGTCACCAGCCAGGCTGGTCCCTTTGAGCTGGTGGACAGGGAAGGGCTCGGAGACAAGGCCTTAGGGGCACTTGCTTTCCCAGTGATGAGTCTGCAGGGGGTCACTTTGATTTGCCAAAAGCTCCGATTCAGCTGGGGATAATACGGCTGAGATGCGTCCCGCCCACATCATTTGATCCTTGGTGGGATCCAGAGGAGACAGTCAGGTGAATGTCCCCAGAGGTCTTACTCATCCCTTCCTGGGTTCTACTGTAAGGTTCAGAAGGGCCAGTTCAGAGTGGTTTTTTGGAAGTAGGGGGTTGTCTGTCATGGGCCCCTGGGCTAAGACAGACAGCTCCCTCCAGAGGTCACTCATCCACCCTCCTGCCTCCAAGCTAGTGCTCTGGCTGCAGCCCTCTGTGTGCAGCAGATGCTGCCAGAGGGCTCTGCCAGGTGGTAGCTGGACCATGCTCTCTGTGGCTCTGGTAGGACCCGGGAGAAGATCCTGGAGGGCTGGAAGGTGTACGTGGGCACCAATAACCTGCATCACCTGCCCGAGGCAGCCTCCATCGCCCAGATCATCATCAATGGCAACTACACGGATGAGCAGGATGACTACGACATCGCCCTCATGCGGCTCTCCAAGCCCCTGACCCTGTCGGGTGAGTGAATCCATGCCTGCCACACCTTACCCTGCTCATCCCACAGTCCGTGGAGCCTAGCCTTTGCACTTAGCAGCACTCACCGACCCATCTCGGGGCCCAGAGCTTCAGCATGGCAGAAGTCACAGACTCTTAGAGATCATTTAGAGGAACACCTCTATCTTACAAGTCAGGGAACTAAGCCCCAGATGTTGGAAATAAATTTGCCCCAGTGACACATCTCACATTGCAAACTGGTGACAGAGCCAAGGTGTGGATACTGGTCTTCATCAGGATAAACAGATCCAAGTGTTTCACTGGGATATTGAGCACTTAACAAGGGCCAGGCATTTCACATCTACAATTTCATTGACTCTTCCCAACCAATCCTGCAGAGCAGCTGCTATTATTAGCTTCATTTTACATTTGAGGAGGTGGAGCTTTAGAGAGAGAATCCCCGAGGCCTCACATTGGCAGCTGCAGGACTGGCTCCGGGTCAGTCTGGTCCCAAGCAGTTGCTCTTCCTGCTCTGCTGGCTGCTGGCAAATTGAAAACACAAGGCAAGTACCCACACATTCAGACAATTAACTGCCAGGAGGTTGGAGCTGAGGACCAAATGGAAGGAAGGCAATGCTACCCAAGTTCTCAGGAGGAAATCAAAGTCTTCATTACTTCGTTGTACTGTATATTGTATTGCACATTCCTTCAGTGTGTTGTGCACACAGTACATGGTATTTGTTCATGTATCAAATACTGTGTGTCTTCTACATGAGCAGCTCTGCAGTTGCAAAGCAAAGCACAGAATAGACAACACCCACAAACAGCCGTTGAGAAGCGAGGGATGTGATGTCGGGGGCACCCCGGGGAGCAGTGGTGGCACAGATGGGGGCACCAAATCAGTCTTGGCAGGCTAGGGAGGCTTCTGGAAGCTTTGGAGGGCTCTCGGTTTCGTTCAGCCTTTCTGGTGCTCTGGGCCGGTGAGCTGGCCTTTCTCGGCACATGAATTAAGAAGGCAGTGTTGGTCCTGAGTCAGCAGTGAGCTCACCAAAGTCGTGCGGGAAGGAGGACACCCAGCTCACAGCCCCGCCTACTAGGAGCCACACCCACCGAGGGTGAGCCCTCCCCACCCCACTCCTGCCCTCCTGCTGCCCTCCTGCCCCTCCCCGCCTTGTCTGTGGAGCCTGAACTATGATGTGACAGTTGCCCTGGTGCCCCACCCTGCCCCTCAAGCACACATAAAAGGGGACAGGCCGTCTGCAGGACCAGGACAGGCCTTCCCAACCTGTGAAACCCAGGCTCCATTTGGCTAACCATCCAGATCTTACCTGCCATCACTCCAAACCCCATTATTATTTGGACTTCCAAATCAAATTAAATAGTCTGTGAAACAAAATTAAAGCTATTATGTCAAACCACCATACCCATTCTTCCAATAGCAAAAATCTTTAAAAATGTCTGGTGTGTTACTTACTTTATCACAATCTAGATATCTAGAGAAATATGTCTTCTATGTTTTATTATCTATATTTTTGAAAAATGTAATGTTTAGGTAATTCTCCAAATACAAATAAAAATTATCAAACTTTCCTACTACCTGCATTTTTACTACTAGAAATTTGCCTTAAAATTGTATTAAAACCATACTCGATTTGCAGAGGTTAAAAAAAAAAAGCCTTCATGGCATTGCCTATGCTCTACCCACTATGGTATTCCCCACCCAGACTCATTAATAGCACCCCTGCCACCCCACCCCCAGGGCAGGAAGTGTATCTCCAGTCTAAGAATCACAGTTTAGGTTTCTGTGGTCAGACCATATGCCCTGATTTTTGGTTGCGAAATCAGGGCAGATTTTCTTAAACTCACTAGGTAGGCCAAGCACTTTGAAGTCACAGTACTACCTGAGAAAACTTGTGAAAGCTCACCGATAAATATAATTGCCCCGTAAAAAAACAAGTGGCATACATAATGGTGTTCCGTGTTTTTAAAACTGTGTATCTCAAAAATAGGCGCAGATGATTTTAAGATGTCATGTTTTGCAGTTTTGGGTTAGTAACTGATGCCATCCTTTCATTTTTTTGTTTGTTTGTTTACGCTCTAGCAGACAAATGTGTTAGACTCCCAATTTATAGAAGAATTTAACATTCATTCTGCCTCCATCTCTCTCCTCCCTCCCTCCCCTCCTCCGCATGAGCGCTGTGTGTGTCAGGCACTGTTCTAGGTGCAGGGGCTGCAGTGAGCCTAACAGTTGACAACACTGCAAATGTTCTATCAGCTACTTCCCTCTTGCAAATTCGAGTTTGGTGGCCAATGCCCTAGTCCATCTAGGGACTCTAGTCCTCAGAAGGGGCTTGGGAACTGATACACAACGGTGTGGGCTCTTCCCACTTGGAGAGGCTGTCTCACCCTGGAGGGAAAGCCTCGAGCCCTGGCCGACCAGGAGGTGCCCTCCCCAGCCCAGGCAGGACACACCACTGAGACTCCATGGCCCTGCAGTCCCACCTGGGACTTAGCCTGTGCTGCTCCTTGCTCTGATGGTTGGGCATGGAAGAGGCTCAGCCAGGAGAGTCACTCTTGGTGCGGAGAGACCTGCATCCACCCAATGTCAGCTTGGCAGAGGGGAGCTTCCAAGGCATATGCGTCTGCCCATGTGGTACCTACTGAAAAATTGGCATGTTTGGGGGACTCTGACAACACCCTGAAGGCTAGAGGGTCTAGATAAAGTGACTGAGTTCCTTGCCTGGTGGGTTCAAGGGTCTGGAAGATTCAGAACCACTCTGGGGGCAAGAAGGGGGTCCTAGGACATTGGTACTCCTGTCCCATCTTGCACCAGCCCCCCTCAAAACCTCCAGCCTTGTCCCTTCACTGATGTCTTGAGGTCTTGTTACAGCTCATGTCCACCCTGCCTGCCTCCCCATGCATGGACAGACCTTCAGCCTCAATGAGACCTGCTGGATCACAGGCTTTGGCAAGACCAAGGAGACAGACGGTGAGAGACAGATGCTAGACTTTGTGTGTGTGTGTGTGTGTGTGTGTGTGTACACGTGTGTCTGCATGGTGTGTGTGTGGGTAGTGTGTCAGGGTATATAGAGCACGGTCTTCCTAGATGAGGGTTTGGACATGTAGATTCATGGGCCTGGGTGTGAATGAGTGTGTGTACATATACACCTGTGTATATATCAAAGCAGTCGGTGTGACAGTGCCCCAGCCAAGACCACCAGGAAAACCCCTGTAGTTGAAGGAGCTCGGTTCACTGCTCCCTGCACTGGGCGGGTAGTCACACCAGGGAGAACCATGGGGTGTCTGGACAAGAGGGTGCTAGAAAGGACTTACAGTATTTGGATGGTTTGGTGGGGGGCTTCAGAGAAATAGAGCTTTTCTCTAGATCAGATGCTTTCAGGAAGCAGGGATAATTCTATAAGTGGTTATCTTAATAATCTCATCTAAAAGGAGCTAAGAGTAGACTGAGTCTCAATCTGTAGTTGATAAAGGAGCAGCAGACACTCATCCTGGCTGGGAAAGGGGACCGCCTGGTCCTTTTGTGGTTTGATCAACCTTGTTTTCGTCTGTGCTGAAACAAGATTAGGAAGTGGTTTTATTTTGCTTCGCTTCATCATGATCACAGGGTGGCCTTGTCTGGTGTAAGTTCTGTAGGCTGTGTATATTTGGCAGGAGAGCACGGTGGCCAGGCTGGCCTCACCATGAGACTCTTGAAACTCAGATCGGCCGCTTTGCCCTTGCTCGTGGGGTGGAGTGGTGACTGGCCGGGAGCAGCCTTGTCCCAATCTCAGCTCTGTGACTAGCTGTGCGACTATGGGCAAGTCCTTCAGCCTTTTATATCTCCCTCTGTAAATGGATTAATCACACCTGCCCTTCTCAGGGCACATAGTTACCAAAAACAAATGAGGTGATATATTTGACAGTGCTTTGAATATAGAAAAGCATTGTGCAGCATGTAAGGCGGGCCAATAGGCCTGTGAGTTGTCTGTGTATGTGTGTGTCTCTGTTATCTGTGTAGTGAGTTGTGTCTGGTGCCAGGGTGTGTGTGCCCATTTTCCTGGGTGGCCCACCACGGGAATGGTGCCCTCCATGCCCAGAAGGCTGCCACTCTGGGGCCTGGGATGAGCAGTTGGAAGGCTATGAAGCTGCCTGGAGTCTCACTCTCTTCCCATCCTCTCTCCTCCACCCCATTTAACTCAAGAGAAGACATCCCCTTTCCTCCGGGAGGTGCAGGTCAGCATCATCGACTTCAAGAAGTGTAATGACTACTTGGTCTACGACAGTTACCTCACCCCAAGGATGATGTGTGCTGGGGACCTGCGGGGAGGCAGAGACTCCTGCCAGGTGAGGCTGCTTCGGGGTGGGGCTCAGGTCCCAGGACACCAGCGGAGTGGGAGAAAGCTAGGGTGTTGGAGTCGGAGGGAGAATCAGTGCCCACCGTTTCCTGCTCGAAGACCGCCTCCGCTACCCTGCTGACAAGTGCACCCCTCCCTGTAGGGAGACAGTGGGGGGCCCCTGGTCTGCGAGCAGAACAACCGCTGGTACCTGACAGGAGTCACGAGCTGGGGCACAGGCTGTGGCCAGAGAAACAAACCCGGCGTGTACACCAAAGTGACCGAAGTCCTTCCCTGGATATACAGCAAGATGGAGGTGAGCGCCCCGCGGTGGGCATGCACCTAGCAGACGGGGACTTCCAAAGGTTGGATGCCTGGAAGAGGGCCGGGCCTTTCCCCAGGGTCTCAGCAAGGTCCCTTCACCCCCGCGTGCTTGGGGATGTTCAGAAGGTGCAGAAAACCAGGACAAGAGTCAAATGTTGGGCCAACCCCAGCTACCTGTACTTCTTTCCCCACTTTGTCATCCTGTGAAACAGAGCTCAGAGGGTTGGGAAAGGGATGGGCTAGGTGCTGGCCCCAGTATCACGCTCTTCTCCCCAGTGGTGGCCGAGCTGTAATTCACACAGGCCACTGAGAGTAGGAAGCCTCCTTTCCTTGGCAGAAGGTTGGTCTCCTGAGGAACTGGACATCAGGAGATGGAGAGCCACCCCCACCTCTGCTGGACCAGCCCCACCCCTCCCTTCCTGGGCCTGCCTCTTAGCTGCAGGGCAGGGGTGCTCTGCCCGTCCTTCTCTTCTCTGCAGTGGGCCAAGCAGTGCGAGCTCTGGTGGGCACGGGGAGGGCTACTCCAGAAACCCAGTGTGGCAGGTTTCTCAGAACCAGCTTCCTTCTTTGCCCCTTTGCTGCCCGTCTTCTCCGAGAGGCAGTGCCAGGCGACAGCTGGGCTGAATTTTAGGCTCTGAGCCTCGACCTGCGGCGTCTGTGTTCTGGGCCCACCAGGCCCACCCTCATCCCATCCTCCTTCTTCTCTTCTTCAGAGTGAGGCGCGCTTTCGGAAATCTTAAGCAGCTGTCCTGCTCCACCTGACGGCACTGGCTGCTGTGAAAACTCTGGCCAAAGTGACCGGGCCATTTGCAGCAGCATCCGGGCTAAAGGCCACCAGATACTTTCATGACTGCCACCTTCAGCGTCTGCTGCCTCTGAACACACACACACGTGTGTGTGTGTGTGCATGTGTGCCAGGGTATATGTGTGTGTCACCGCTTTCCCAAGGTCTTCAGAAACCAGGAGAGCTGTCAACTCTTCCCAAACCCCAGGCTGGAAATCACCTGGAGATAACTGTCTGGGCACCGTGGAGATTCCCATGGGGGTGTCCAAAACAGATGGAGGAGGCAGAGCCCAGGGAAGGGCCTGGAAGGTCACATCAGGAATTCTTGCTCCTCTGACCCTGATTCAGATGAGCCCAGAATGGGCAGCCACCCGGTGGCCCAGCCATCACTGCCGTCAAGGGACAGTGAAAGGTTTCATGGAGTGCCTGCACTGTCCCTAGTGGGAAGATATTCCTGTTGGCATTCCCAGCATCCTGCCCTCTCTGAGCCGTCCTGCTGGTGCCACTGGTGTAGAGCGGGGCTGTGCCGTGGCTGTCCCTGCTGACCACTGTGAGCAGGGCTCACTGTCCTTGTTTGGTCACAGGCTGCTGGAGGCAAATTTCATTTCATTTTTTTTATATATTCAAGAAAGGGAAGTAGATGTATTTTTAAAGATTCTCCAAAAATTCTAGGAGCCAAGAGAGCTAGCATCAGTCACCCCAAGAACTCCGAGGGACCTCTGGGAGCTGAGCTCTGGAGTCCCGTGGAATGCTCCTGGCCTCAAGGGACTGGATGAAGGGGTCCCGTTGAGATACTCAGGGAAGTGAATCCTACGTGGGCCGGCGGACAAATCCAACACAAAGAGAGCCGCAACGGCTGCTGCATCTCGGGGCTGCAAGGGCACAAAGGAAGCGACGCTGCTTCTCCGTGAGCCCCCGGAGCCTGGGGACATCCAGCTGGACCGGCATCTCTCACACCCGCGGCCGTCTTCGGACTTTGGAGCTTCCTCACAGCTTTCTCCACCTTTCAATGTCTCAGTCGTTCCAGAGACATAGCATTGTCATGAAAACTGTCACGAAGGGAAAGCCGACTCTGTCCCCAGGCCCTCCAAACAGCCCTTCTGAAGGATCCTAGTCACCCCCTTTTGCAGGCCATCAGCACGCCCAGCCTCTGCACCAGCTGAAGTCCTGGACCGTCCCCCATCCTTTTCTCTGGGGCACCCATGCCTCCCGCAGTCCCATTCTCCTTGCCTTCCTTAGGACTGTCTGGTGGTGCTCTGACTTCCAGAGGTGGGGTCCAAGCAGATCAGCCCAGCCCAACCCAGAGCAGGCAGGTGGCTGCTGGGGCGACTGTTCTGGAAGAGCAGGCTGGAGCTGGCTAGTGTGGCTGGGCAGAGTCTGAAGGGGCTGGTTGCATGTCATTAAGGCTGGGGGGTGGGGGGGGGCAAAATTCACAGCCCCAGTATCCCCCAGCAATGGTCTTCAGCAATAAAAGTTGTGTGACCTGAACAATTTGTCATTGGGTGTTTTACTGGTACCCGAGGTAGAAAACTGAGATTGTCCACCCAGGTGCCCACACATTCTTAGTTTTGCTTCTTCGTTTTGGTTCCTCACCTTTGGGTTCTGCTCATTTAATCATGCATTCATTTATTTATTCATTCGCCCACCATATCGGTGCCTACTCTATGCCAGGTACTCGTGCCAGGCCCAGAGGGCACAGACACCACGATGGTCCTCAGGAACTCATGGTTGTGACCCAGTGTGATGGAAGCTGTGATTCAGTGTGGACACTGCTTGGAACATGGATGAAGACGCCACGCGCCGCACCTGAGAGGTCAGGGAAGGCTTCACAGAGGAGGTGAGGTTTGAAATGAGTCTTAAAGGGGCGGGGAGCCTTCACAAAGCAGATGGGATCGGGGACAAGCAGTCCAGTGCCTGTCCTTTTTTCCTCCTTCCTCTTTCTCTACCTCTAATTTTGCCAGCTCAGCAAAAGGCATGTTTACGAAGAAACCCTAAGGCTTACTCAACTATTTCCAAGAGAATTGGATGGATAGTCCCACTGGCCTCTTCTGAAAGATCTAGCCTTTCTTGCTCTGCACTAATTTTTCCCACATTTAATAGATTGACCGCAACCATTGTCATCCCACGATGACTGCCCAGCACCCACCCCGCACACACCTCTAACCATGAGCACAGAATTCTCCAGGCCTGCCCCAGTGGGCCTGGCCTTTGGACACCTCAGGTTTGTTTAGTCTCCCATGTCAATGCTAGAGGAAGTCCTTCCTCTGATTTTTTTTTCTTCCTCCATCCACACGACAAGGGATGGGGAGAAGGCAGGTGCCAGGCTTACTCTGTTAGCAGTATGGGTAGCACAGCCACCGTAACACACCCCACAGTTTCCTGCAATCTCATGGCGTGACCCAATCAAAGTTCATTTCTCATCTACCTAACAGTCCAATGAGGATGTCTGACCCACGGGAGGATTTTTCAGGGACTCAGGTTCTTGCAGCCTGGTGACTTTATCATCTGCTTCCCGCCAGCGGAGAGAGGAAGGAAAAGCTGGAGAAAGCACATACGCTTCCTAAACGCTCTGGCTTAGAAGGGACACATGTGACTTCCACTCCTGTTTCATGCGTGTCGGCGTGGTGCGTGGCACCACCTAGATGAAGTAGGAAAGGCAGTCCCTGGCCGGTCCCCACGCAAGAGCTAACACTTGCTTTGGAGGATAACCAGCTATGTCTGCGCACCAGAGGAAGCTGGTGGTATCCCAGAAGAAGGCCTTGGGGCAGAAAGTTAGGGCTTAGGCCATTTCTGTTGCTTTTTCCTTAGGAACCAGACCCTCTCCCTCCTCTCTTGGCTTCCTAGGGCAGAAATGGATCTGTGGGGGTGCAGAGGTGTGTGTGTTGGGGAGAGGTAAGAGAAAAAGCAGTATCTAGACGTGAAAAGAAAAATATTCCTTAGGCCCAGGACATCTATAGAGGCCTTAAAATTCGTGGGAGGTGAGTGATGCATGTTCCCAAATTAATCTCTTCCCAAATTGATTCAGGATCTCCAGGGGCACGGGTGTGTGTACTGGTCTTAGGGTCTCTGGGTCCCAGGCATCTCCAGGTACCAGTCAAACTCTCTGGCTTTGTCAACTCTGGTGACCAGTGAATTTCCCTGGGGGAAGGAGAGCGAGTGAGTATGTTGGAGGTGGGGCAGATAATGGCTCTTTGGAGGAGGAATCAGTTACAGCCTCACTGCTGCCATTGCCGTCCAGCTGCCTCTGGGGTTTGGTTAGATTCCCAAGAGCTATTGTTTTTCCATAATTGCTCAGCTGATGTCCCGATGCAGTTGGGAGCACATTGTGAGATGCACATGGAGCGCTCATGATGAGGATAATGACAATAAATGGCTGGCATTTGCTGAATGTTATGTGCCAGGTGCTGAGCTGAACACCTGATGTGCGTTAACTCCTGTGAGCATGAAGTTGGCCTTGTTATTACCTCTATTTTACAGATGAGGAAACAAGGCCAAGAGAAGTAAAGTAAGCATCCCCAAACTGACAATTGCTAAGGGGCAGAGTTGGACTTTGAATCCAGGCTGTCTGAGTTTAAAAGCTGCTTTAAAAACAGGTGGAGTCTTCCTAACTGTGACCTCCTGAAGTCTGCCATCTGGCTCTGTGGCTCTTTCCAATTTCCACCACGTCTCTGCTATGGGAGGGGCAGCGGAGGCTGGGCACATCCCTCAGAGGATCACATGCCCAGAGCCTTAGCCAGGGCAGTTTCTAGAACCTGGGACAAATGCATCAAGGAAGGGAGGAGGCCCCCGGCACCTCCCCCACCCCTGTCCCCAGTGGATGTTTTCTGGGAGGGCCCCCCGTGCCATAACATACTGTCACCCCAGGACGCCTCCATGTCTCCTCGATGAGGGTGGGTGGCTCTGAGAGGCACATGCCACTCATTCCCTACCTCCTCCGCACTGGTCCAGGCTTCCTGTTCCTTGAAAGTCTGCCGCCCAGCCCAGGGAGCAAGCTCCGTAATTGTCTTACAAGGCACCACCCCAAGAACACAGAGGGCCACACTCTAGAGATGAGCAGCCAGGACTGTCCAGGCAGGAGGCTTTATTAGGTAAGTCCCTTGAGGAGGGGACAGCACGGCTTGGTCTTCGGGCCTGCACGCTCAGCTCCTGCCAGCAGAACGTGTGAATGTAATAAGGTGTCTCCTCTGTCCAAGCCCCAAGTCCCAAGTCCCAGGAGTTCTTCATTTTTCATACAAGGAGGGAGCTGGGAATCTTCTCTGAGTAATTCCTCCTAATTGTGTTGTGCCAGAGAGAGTCTCAGACCTGGAATCAAAGCACCTGGAGGTACAATTCCAGCTCTGCCACTTATTTGGCCCTGTGATCTTGGGCAAGCCAACCTCTCTGGTTCCTCATATGTGAAGTGGGTGTATCTATTCCACGTGTTGTTGCAGGATTAAATGGGAGGGTGCATGGAAACAGGCAGGGCAAAGTCACTGGCATAGTATGACTTCTCAACACATCACGAATTTGCAACAAAAGGGTCAGATTCTTTACCTCCACATCCTTTCACACAACAAAGATAGGAGAGGGAAATTGGGATACATCCTCCAGGCTTAGGATATTTGTCATTCCTCTGCATAAATTTTCCATTTAGTCATAGGGCTGATCTTTCATGGAGATGACACTACCACCTGGGGTAGACGGTCATCCCCTACTGGTGGCGTCTCGGAACTGAGATCACCTTGCTCTCCCATCACTGATGGAACCAGGATGGCTTCCTGTCCCTGCTCTGGTGACAGCTGACTGCTCAGCCAGTGGAGCTGACATTTCTGGGCTGTGAGGGGACACACATCCTTGTTCCCTGTGGACCCCTTGATCCGCAGCCATCTGGATCCTGCCCCATCATGTATGTGAACCGTCATGTTCCCAAATCTGGTGCACACTTTTCAGTCCCCATCTTGCTGGAACTCTGGAATAAATAGCACTTAACTACTGAGTGCTTCCTACTTAGTGACATTGCCACAGCTTCTGTGACATCAAGCTCTCCCAGTTCCCCTTCTGGTCCTGTGACTGCTCCTTCTGTCTTCCACAAGCTCTGTAAATGGTGTTCCCGCCAGGACACCACCCTCAGCTCTCTTCTCAGGGTAAATGCTCACCCTGGGCCATCTCATCTATCCTTGAATTTTCCATCTAACATCAGTGGAGCCAGCAGGAACTTGCTCCATGTCATGAAAGTACAAGAAATGTCACCTTTCTTTTTAAAAGCCGATTAAAATCTGACTTTGAGCTGCGGCAGCCTGGCTGGAAAACATCCCTCATCATGTTCTTCCCCAGGACGCTCAGCCCCAGGAGAGGCTGCCCGCTGCTCCCCTGGCTGGGTGCTCAGTCTGCAGCCATCACAGGCATCCCTGGAGGATTTTACAGGTAAAGGGAGTAGTTCACAAACCTGCTGCTCTCTGTGCCCCCCCAGTCTCAGGAACCCCACTCTCCCTGAATTGGGTCCAGGCTGCTCCCCTCTCTTCAGCCCCCAAAGCCCTTCTCCTTGCACACAACTCAGTCCTGTCTCTCTTGTGGACACTGTGCAAAGGCCACTCCATTCTCTTTAGGGTCAAAGCCAATCTTTCCTGATGAGATCACGGCAGAAATCAAGATGAGCGTAGATCTCAATAATTGCGTACAGGTTTTCACGGGAACCTAAGTTTTCATTTCTCTAGGATAAATTACTATAGATGGGATTACAGGAATCATATGTTTAACTCTGTAAGAAACTTCCGGGCTGTTTTCAGAGGGGTTGTACCATTTTGCATCCCCACCAGTTCTTGGTATTGTCAGTATCGTCTGCTGTAGCCCTTCTAATAGATGTGTGGTTATATCTCACTGTGGTTTTAATTTGTATTTCTCTAATAACCAATGATGTTGCACCCTTTTTATGTGTTATTTGCCATCTACATATGCTCTTCAGCAAAATGTCAGTTCAGATCTTTTGTCTATTTCCTTGTTGGATTATTTCTTATTGTTGTGTTTTGAGAGTTCTTTATATATTCTAGATACTAGCCTTTGTTGGCTGTGTGATTCGTAAATATTTTTTCCCTATTTGACTTGTCTTTTCATTCTCTTAATTCTTTTGCAGAGCAAAAGTTCTTAATTGGGTGAATTCCAATTTATCACTTTTTTTTTTCTTTCTGGATTGTGCTAAGAACTCTTTGACAGACCCAAGCTCAAGAATTTTACTTTTTTTATGTTTAATATTTAGACAGAAGATCCATTTTGAGTTAACTTTTGGATACCATTGAGATATAGATTGAAGTTCATTTTTTGTTTGCATGTTTGTTTGCTAATGGATGCCCAGTTGTTCCAGCACCATTTATTGAAAAGACGTACTTCTCCCATCCAATTGCCTTTTCATTTTTTCAAAAATCAGTTGAGCATATTTGTGTGGGTATATTTCTAGACTGTATTCTGTTCCATTGACCTATGTATCTATCTTTCACCAGTGCCACACTGTCTTA